GATAAGGAAAAAGAGAATCAAAGTTAATGTGAAACCCTTCAAAAGTATCAGTGTTGAGGACTTTGTCGACGACGATGAGAACTTAAATCCCCAAACTTCACTTGCTAGTGACCAAAACCCATGTTCCTCCAAACAGGTTCAGCCAAATAAAAGCCGAAAGCGTGTGGAGTTATCATCAGAAGATGAAAATGACTTTTCAGTGCAGGATACTGACTCTTCAGATGCCCCTGATCTAGATGAAAGTACTGACAAGGCCTCAGGCGAAAACCTCGTCATCAATGAAGATGACTACATGTTAGTCAAAGTTTATGGTAAAAAAAACACCTTTTAGATGTTATATATGCAAGGTTGCTTTCCTTGAATATGACGGTTTCGTTGGAATATTTTTGAAAAGAGTGCAACAAACTAATAAGTTTACCATAACTGAAGAAGAATCACTTGTCTCCAGAAACGACGTCGTCCTAAAACTATACTCCCCAGTATTTTCCTCAAGTGCGCGATTTAAAGACATGATATTTTTCGAAGATGACCTGTCTAATTTCACAATTTATTAATCATTATTTAATCTTATTAAATACCATTTGTTTACTTAGAGTTATGTAATTTCTTTTGTTTATATAGCTACCTACTTAAATAAATCATTATGTTGAGAAATAAATTTGTATTTATCCATTTATAAATTAAAAATACCATATTTAACTGCTTCTATTCACCCCCGATTCCTTTCAATAGAAACAAACATAAAATTAAAGTACTGTTAAATTCACCCCCCTTTGAGGGGTGAATAGAAACACAATGTTTTATTTTTTTTTCTTTAAAATAAAATAAAATTAAAAATTTAAATACTATAAACAAATAGGTCTAACAGAGACCTGTGTTTGGGCAAAAAAATTGTGTATCTAGAACAACTACAAATATAAAAAATTTTAAACCAAAGTTGAAAATTGTTTCTATTCACCCCCGTTTTACGGTAGTTTCAAAGTAATCCCTCATTATGTTATAAATATCATTTCGTATTAGTGCAAAAGAGTTTAATTATTTCGTTATGTAAATACGATACTTTTGGAGACGGCTATCGCCGTATTCCCATTCTCCTCCGCCAATCCTCCCGGTCCAAGGAATGCTTCTCCTCCACCCCTCCAAACCTCTCGATTCCATCGCTCTTCTAACTCCTTCATTCCATGAGTGTCCAGGTCTACCTTTTTTTCTTCTTCCAGGGTGCTTCCATCTGTGAAATTTTTGGGGCCAACGTTCGTCAGGCATTCTCAATAGGTGTCCAAACCATTTTAAACCTCTTCTTTCTATTCTGTCAATGACCGTTTCTGTAGCATTCATGTTCTTATAGATTCGTTGCTCTTTCTTTCCAGCCTTGATGTTCTGTTTTAATTGTTTGATTTCCACGTCCTCGTCTATCAACACTTCAAACCTTATATCTGAATTGTTAACAAATATTCTGTTTTCTTCATGCTGACTTGTAACCCCCATTTTACATATTCTCTGTATAGACGCTTTATCATAAATTCTAGATCAAATTATGATTTATTTCGTTAGAAATTATTAAAAATACATGTTTTCGTTTTTGCCTCTCCTGTAAAATCGCCAAAAATGAATTACAACCTTGTTCGATGGAGGTGTCAGTATATAGCTTCGCGCTAGTCGACTGTATTGCTTACTATAACATTTTTTTTTATTATTTTAACTTTCGAAAAACTTCTTTCCTCACTAGCTACTGTCACAGGTAATGTTATTAAAATTCGTATGGCAATTACTAAATTTTGAAATAGATAGATAAAGTTATTGGTGAATAGGTAGTTGAGAACATTTAATGCATTTATTTCAAGGGAAATATAGGATAGAAAATTGTCAATTTCAACATATAAATCTTGACCTAGAATATCTTTCATTTTTCGCTGGATCACAAAATATTTTCAAGATTTATATTTTGCAGGCCTAATTGATTTATCCTTTTTAAGGAAATTACATAGGTCTTTGAGAAAATTAACCAAAATGTATCATGTTGCTTTTCCAATTCCAATAATTATGACACTATAATGGATTTCGTGAGACAATAATTTTTTAACACATTAAACGCCACGTGAGTTGCCTTTAACTCACACCCTATTTGGACAAGGCGTTATGTGAGTTAAATATAATTTACAGACTGTTAAGATTCTACGATATGTTTAACGAATTTACTTTACAGTTTATGTGTTATTGATATTCATATGATTTGTACATGGTCTCGTAGATTACTGCTGTTTTACATGAAAATTAATATCGTACTAGCCGTTGAAAATAAGACATCTAATTTCTCTGATAGATATCATTTATTTTTACAAAAACATAAAGTGAATTTTTTAGAATGTATATAAGCTATAAACTGTATATAGTTCTTTACAAAGTAAATTTTCATTTATTTGTGTTTTACAAAAAAGCACTTGACACAAAAAAAGTATTATCACATTTATACAAAATCTGTTTAGTTGTCTTAAAGGCATATTCTCTTCCGTGTTCTATTTTTATATCAAACTGCTGATACCTTCGTCTTGCTGATTCCATTTTTTTCAGACAACAAGTTTTAAACACTTATTTTGTCTTGAGGTATATATGTTTGAAATAGCTTTAGAGTTATCTCTTCTCTGAAGGCAGTACTTTTTACTTATAGCTTTATATAAAATAAATGCATTTGCCATTATTGAGCCAGTGAGAAACTTAAAAGCTAGCTTACAGTACCATTTAACTCTTCTGTCTACTAATGCAGTAGAATATGATTTCAGCTATCTGAAATATCAATAAATGCTTTAAAATTATTATGGTCACTGCTTGCGGTTTTTGTAACAGGTTGTTATTTTTACCCTGAACTTCCACTTTGTTATATGTATACTGTGATAAAGATCAAGAAATCTCTTTTACCTTTCCACCTCAGGACAACTACTCTTTGCTACTTTCTCATGCAATAATTTTGCTTTCACATGTTTAGGTTTGGATCTAAGCGTACCTATCAAATGTGTTGATCTGTCTAAAAGCTGTTGAACTAAGTGGACACTTGTATGAAAATTGTCTGTGTATAGTATTCTACCCAAATCCAAGAGTCCATCCATCAATGACATAACTGAAGATAACGCTGAAGTACCTTGCTCTGTAATGTCTTTTCAAACAGTAAACTTTCAGGTTGAAGGTGTAGCCATTTTCTGTACATAATTTGTAAAGTTTTATGCCAAATTTATGTTTTTAATTTTTGATATATTGCTTGAAGGCCAGCCGTACATGAAATGATACCAGAATCTCATCAATACATACATTTTTGTTCAGAGTATTAGCAGTTTGAAATTGGTCCAACAAATGTTTGATTTAAGGTTGAATTTTGAAAAGTCTTGACATTGGCATACAATGTCCTTGAACCAATAATCTGAAAGTTGAAGTTTTTTGTTTCAATTACAATAAAGTTGATAATGTCATCTGTTACAAAAAATTTAAAGAAACCATAGAGTCCTTTTTGTGCTAATACTGATGCAGCTTCAGTTGATGTACCAGGATTTACTGCATAGAAATTAGATACCTTTAGAGTTTGTTCCATTCCATGTAAGCTGAAATTCAAGAAAAGTAACTAGAAATTCAGTGTTGTGATCTGTGTCTTGAAAGGATTCAGCAGCTTGTAAAGATGGGCGTTATATAATGTATTCGGATAAATAACATTATTACCAACAAGTATTCGTTTTCTCAATAATAGGTTACAGCAAACTGCCTATTACTTTTGTCACACTATTACTTTTGTCACAGTGTGACTATAACGTTGGTATTCGATATGACAACATCGATGGGAATCGTTCTCTCAATCAGTAACAGGATAGGATGATCATTGTCACCGAATTGATGATGAGCTTTATGTTTTGCCACTTAAATAGCTGGGAATACCACCATAAGCATGTACGATTAGTAAGACGGAGACTATGTTTATATGATTTCTAATTTATAGTATAGTAGTTGAATCATCTATTTTTAAGCCTCTGTCAGATGTATATGTTTAATGTTTATTTTTAACAACCATCAAATGTATGTATAAATAGATAGAATGTTTATCACTCACAGTTGAAACAAAAATAAACTATAAACAGTAGAAAGTATTCCTTTATTGAAAAAGATATGATTACTACAAGAAACTTTAGCAAGCCAAGTGGAATGGAGCTACTTGCAGCTTGGGTAATAGGTGACCAAAGTAATAGGTTACCGGAACCTATTACCTGTCTGTCACCGGAACGATGGAACCTATTATTACAAAGTAACTGTATTTTCCATGGCTAGCAGCTTGGAATGATATACTATATGTGGCTTCCAAAACATTGGTTGGAAGTTGTTCTACACCTTTAATCTTCAAATGCTTCACAACTATGTTGAAACCCTACACTATCTATAATTTCATCTATGTGTCTTATAGATTGTTCTGCAGAATTGTCATTTTAGAAGGGATCACTTACTTTCTCATCACTTATAGCAATGAATTCATCATATATTCTTTGCAAATACTGTTACTGTTCTTCAAAAGTATTCAATTTTTTCGTCATAGTAATAGATAAGAGGTTAATATGTTACAGATTCGAGGAGCCCTTTGACTTTAATATCTTTATACAGAATAAATGACAAGCTTCAACCTCTACAGTTACCGTGAAGTGTAAATCATCTGCAACACATGTAGTGTTGGTCTTAGGACTCTGTGAGTTGAATACAATAATTCACAACCATAACTCAAGAGTTAATTTTAAATTATCATTATTATAGTGCATTTTGGAATCATTTAATATAAAAAGACATGGAGCCTGAAATAAAAAAAAAACTATTTTAATTTGGTGGTTAATGTGTTAAGTCATTTTAAAATAAATTAAAAGCTTTACATATTAAACATTTAATACAGAAACAAATATATATAAAAGCAGTAAAATATAAGTTTTACTGTTCTAAATTAACACATACATAAATAATTTAATACATTTAAAGTATTTTAAATGCTTCATGAGATTTTCAATGAATATTCTAATACTGACTATTACAAGAGAATGGAAGTACTAAATAAACATTTATGCTATCTTTTGTTGTTGGTATTGATAGCTAATTTGGAAGCATTTGTAAAATTAAGATCTACAAGCTCACAAAACTATACCTCCATCTTTACATTTACCAAAATGCTTACAAATTGCAATACACTGTAACATTTTAACTAAAGAAGAAACACTAGTTGAATTTTACTTAACTATGTTACAATTCTGAATATCTGAATGAAAATGATTATATACTTCAAGTCTTTAATTAATTATACTGTTGTCTCCTTCTGGCTCTTTGTTTATCAAATCGAAGTTCCATTTCTTCTAATACTTTGGGAGTATAACGAACTACAAGTTTCACAGACCCATGGGCTTGTTTTAATAGTTCTACAGCCTTCTCGTGGTTTTCACCATCTACAGACTGGGAGAAAAATCATTTATAGTACTTTAAATAATTTTATTATCGGTATAAGTAACTTACCACTCCATTTACGCTTAAAAGTTGATCACCTCTTTTCAATCCTCCATGTCTATCTGCTACGCCCCCAGGAATAATTCTTGATATATAAATTGGTGAATTTTGCTCTTTGCCTCCCATAACATTAAAACCTAACCCTTCGTCCGTTTTTGGCAGTTCCACAACTCTAGGATGAGCGTGCCCTTCACTGGCTGCGAAAGCTGCTACAGTTGCTTTCGCTGTGGCAGAAGCTCTTACATCTTGAGACCCTTGTATGTCTACGGTTTCATATACATGTTCGTAAACTTCACGCACGGCATTCAGAAAGTCGCTCTGGAGAACTTTTTGGAGAGCTGCCAGTTTTGTAGCAGGAACTTCGCCACTTTTTTGGAGTTTTTCAAGAAGTTCAATGGATCTTTTTATGTCTACAATAAGATAAGTTTGAAAGATATATTTTTTATAATGTATTTCAACTTACCTCTTGATAGAGTTAAAGGTTCTCCAATTTGAGCCATCTTTCTAAAAATGTTTTATTATTAATAATTAGCTGAATAAGTCAAAAGCTGCCCAGTGCCCGAAACCGAAATTACAATAGGATGGTGTCAAATGTATTGTGAAATGTAAAATAAACAAACAGTTGACAATTGACAGTGACAATCTTATATGAACAGAGCTCTCAGTTAATTTCGTCATTATGTTTTTCTCTCTTTATTATAATTAATTTATATACCTATCTCTCCAAATAGAATATTGTAAGAAATATATGTCAATGTCAACATCAGATTGGAAAACAAACACACCAACTTAAACCAGGCAAGGCAAACTTCATTTTTGTTTATATTTTTATTGATTAGTCACTACTCTGAATTATCGTGAAAATATCTTAAAAACTTATTTATGTAAAATGCCTTCATTATTAAGATATTTCAAACCGACCAATCTTAATAATTTTGTAATAATAATACCGTGTGTTTCTGTTGGAAATGTTCCACAGTTAGCAGTAGATCTTCTCATCAAAACTTATAATTTAGAAAAAGTTGCTTCAGTATGGCATTCCTCAATTGTTCCTACAGTTGGTGCTGACCCTTACAATTGCAGTTCTTCAGAAATATGTACAGCGTGTGAATTATATTCAAATGAAGATTTGAAAATTGCTTGTTTGCAATTGAGATCAACCATTGAAACCAAAACAGCAAGAAAGTTTTTCGAAGATGTTTATAACAGTTTAAAAGAAATGAAAGTTAAAAAAGTTGTAATTTTATCCAGTGCTTTTGATTATGAATTGCACAATATAAAGAAGGAAAGATTTTACTTTTTGGGAAAAAGTCAGCTGAATCTAACAAATATACCTAATATCAAGGAATTGGAAAAAAGTGATAATAATAAATACTCTGTGAATGGAGCAGGGTTTTCTATTAATTTATACTCTGTTTTATCTAAAACTTTAGACTGTCTTTTACTAGGAAAGTATATCAGTGAAGGTGACAACAGGCCTGATGCTCAGTCATTGTTGGAAAAAGTATTAAATGTGACATATTTACAACAAATATCAAAAAATGTAGAATATCCTAGCTCTTGGGATTATGTTTTCGGTGCTCCTCCTCCTATTGGAATATATTAAAATGTAATTGTTAAATTAAATTAAATATGTTCTTACCATTTTTTAATTTGTTATCTCTGTCCCACTTTTTAATTTGTTATCAACAGTAGAATGTATGTTGTAAGTATTAGTGCAAAAATTATTAGAACAATGCTAAAAAAGAATATTGATATTAGAAAATTATGAAACTGTATAGCATTTTCTAGTATTGATGATGTACAGCTCAATAACTATGCTAAGAGTGCTAAAAATATAGGTGATAGGGTTACAAATTCACAGAGCTACATTATACTATTGATAAAAAGTCAAATACTGAAGGATCCTTAAAAATAAAGATGCAACAAATTGAGTGATCTTGTTTTGGTGACTGCTAAGCTCTTGACAAATAAGTCTTCATACTTTTAGATATAAAATTTAAATAAACTGATGTACTTAGAAAGAAGTATAGGCTCAAGTTATATTAAAATAAATTAAAGGGGAAAGAATCTGAAATACCCAATTATTTATTAACAGCAGATTGTCCTAAATAGAAAAATCTGATATAATTTCTTTCTTGTATATGATACTTATATTAAAAAGTGAATATAAATAAACAATATGACTAAAAGATTTGTACTAAAATTTAATGTACTTACAGCAAAAGAAAGATGAAGATAATACTAAATCTAGCATTATATTCATTAGCAAGCATTTGATTTTTAAATTTTATTTTGACACCACATATTTATTAAATAATTGTGTCATTTATGTTAAAATGCATTTTGACAAAGTTCATGAAGTATTAGTGTCAAAAGTGTAAATATTTCGCACCCTTGCTTCAAAAGTGACACAACTCAAAAATGACAGTCTGAGTTATCACTATAAATATCATCCATAAACAAACGATGACAAACCCACACAAATCATCAAAAGCATTTCAACTTGCATTCAAAAACTTCCGTGAGATGGTGACTGGATTTGGTTTTGATGATTTCCCACTAGGCATTTCCCCTGCAGCATAAGTGTGATAATGCTAGTTGCATGCCTGTCTTGGTCGTTGTTAGATGTCACGCTTATTACTAAAATCACACTATTTTAAGTTGTGTCGTTTTTGATTATTTATTTTGTATTTTCTATTGACAATATTTTGAGTTACCACAGTTTTGTTGAAAATTTGTGAAGAGAGTAAACTGCATTATTTGAAATTGGTTCACTTTTGTAAATTAAAGTAAATAAAACATGTGTCTTTAATTTGAGTTATGTCACTTTTATTGATGTTATTTGTAACAAGCACAAAAATAAGCAAATAAAATATTTTTATGTTACATATTTTTTTGCTAACGAAGTCAAAATAAAATTTAGTTTTTTCTGTTTTATCTTTTATCTCTATAGAAACTATTTTGACGTTTACGACCACAAATAAAGCAATTATTTGTTATAATTAATTAAAGAATTAAAAATTAATTAAAGAATCATGGCAGTAATTAGCTTGTCATTACAAATCAGAACAAAATAAATGTGACAAAATGTAGGTTCTATTCTTTCTGAAAACATTTTAATAAATAAATCATATTTAAAAAATCAACTTTCAGGTAGCTTCTTACAATTATGGACCCCATCAAAAGGCGAACCACTGCTATCTTTAAATTGGCAAAAGATATTATTATTCAAGAGTTCTTAACAACACTAGATGACATAGACAAAGAAAATGTTGTTTCTATACATCCTTCGACCGCCAGTCATGCCCACTGCAGCAATATAATGGATAATCACGAAGATAATAAAAAAATCTGTATCTTAAAGTTACGTCGTCGTCAAATCCTCTGTCAATGGAACCCAGAAGCAGTCCTTTTATAGAAAAATATATTAATCCTGCATCTAACGGAAATATTAATTTAAACTTGGAATCAGACACACTACCAACCCTAGTTTCAACAAAAGATGACATAAGTTTGAATTTTATTTAATTTTCAATTGTCTTTATATATCAATTGTCAAGTTTATATATTCAATTGTCAAGTTTATATTGTCTCTCAAGGCGTTGAACCAGAATGTAGCAGAAATATTATTTACAAAGCATCATACAGTTCTGAGTGTACCACTAAATTACATTTACGAAGACAGTCAGAAAGAAAATTTCTAAAGACTTCTCCTGTACAAGGTAAAGAAAGTGATGTAGATGATTCAGATTCAGATCCAAACTACAATAAAAGCTTTAGCAGTTCCTTTGAATGTGATTTGGAAGAAGAAAAGGAAACATATGTAATTCAGGCTATAGACTTAATGAATGGTTTGATCGACAAAGAGAAAAAAAGGAAACAAAAGAAAAGCAATACCTGATACACGGGATGTCAAAAAAACTAAACTATTTAGAAATTCCGGAGAAGCTTATGTTTTTTCATCTAAAACCAAACAAAATTTTCCTGCTAGAAATATAAGCCCTCCTTGTGGAGACAAGTGTACGCTAAAGTGCACCTTAAAATTAAATGAAGCAGGCCGAAAAAAAATACTTTTTAAGTTATTGGAAACTTGGAGACTTACAGCGGGAAGAGAATTTATTGTTGCCCATACTGAAACAATAAAACCCAAATACCGCTATTCAAGTACACAGGATTTCAGACGTATGAATTCTGCTTTCTACTTTCTCATCAAGGCAGTCGCGTAAGGATATGTAGCCGCGTAAGGCCACATTGAACATAAACGCTAGACCCATTCGAACAGCTTTAATGAAAAATGACAAAAATGGCTTTCTTTAAGCCATTTTTTTAACGGAGATTATATTTCATTTTTTTTTTACCAAAAAAGGTTCAATGCGATTTGTGTGAGGCATTCAAAAACTCCGACGAGCAGGGCAAACAAAAGTTGCTAGAATATAATCTTCATATAAAGGAAAAAGAGCTTTCCCGCAAGGAAACGGAGAATGACAAAAATAAGTCTCTGCTCTCGTGTTGCAGTATATGATTTGCAGGCAGTAATGCCAGTGCCTAAAGGTCAAGTGTCATCGTTTTACTACAAAAGTAAACTGAACTGTTATAACTTCACATTAGCTATCTGAATGTTAAAAACATCAGTTGCTATTTCTGGAATGAAACAGAAGGTAAGTGAGGAGCAATAGAAATAGGAAGCTGCGTACTAAAGTATCTGCAAACTCTATCGGAAAATAATCATTCCACAGATTTAGATATTATATTCTACTCTGACAACTGCACTGGTCAGCAAAAAAATTTGTTCACATCATATCTGTACGCAGTGGCAAAATTTAATAAAATATCCAGTATTACACACAAATTTTTAATACATGGACATTCTCAAAACGAAGGCGATAATGTCCACAACATTATCGAAAAACAAATACAGAGATACCTTAAAGCCAGCCCTATATACATACCTGAGCAATATGCCACAATGATACGAACTGCCAAAATAACTGGCATCCCTTATCAAGTATTTGCACTTACATTTGAAGACTTCTTTGACCTTAAAATACTTCAAGAAGAAATAGGTAGCAATTTCTCAAGTAACACCGAAAATAATAAAGTTATATGGAACAACATTAAAATAGAAAAGCAAAGTCCAAAAACATTTTTTTACAAAACTTCATATGAAGAAGACGCTTATTTGCAAAATCAAGAAAACTAGGCCCAAAGAAACCGTGGAACCTGAAATGCGTTTGGTAAGAGCGTATGCTAACAGATTGTCGATAGCTACTTACAAGAATACCTTAAATAACTTGTTGATAAAAATATAATACCAAAATTGTATTATGAATCTTTCTACAAACAAGATTTTGATTTAAATTAATCTTGTAGGTATTTAATTAACCACATTTAAAAGCTGTTTTAAATGTTTTTTCTTATTTTCATGTCTCTTAATGTGAATGCATGCTTTTGTTTTTTAGATGTAATGTTCTTGTAAATTCACTTAATAAACTTTTTTTTTATGAAATTAAGTATCTTATTCGAATCAAAATTATCATTGTAAAAACGTCATAACTCAAAACTTCGTCTAAATTCAAATTAGTAAAACTGTCACTTTTGCAGTATAAAACATTAAAATTTTCATGAAAAACGTAATAACTCAAAAAATTGTAGTTTTAAGGTAATAAAAAGCAAATACCAATCTAAATCTAAACTAAATGTTGTTTATAAGACCAAACTATATCTGGTTTTAATTTTAAATCATCTAATTATCCCATATCCAACGTAAACTGAGTTTTTTACTTCTCACCAAAAATTACATTTTTGAGTTGTGTCACTTTTGAAGCAAGGGTGCGATTTTAAGGATATACAAAAATGAATGGCATATAGAAAAATTAGAAGATTGATAAACAGTTACAATGGCTGAATTATAGATCTTTGAAAGTCAAAGCGGCGAACATATGATTTAACAAACACAAACAATGAAAATAGGCTAAATACAAGCAGTGATTTGAAAGTAGCTCTTAGCAAGAACCAAAGTCCAAGAATTCCTTAGCGTATCAAAAAGTTCGTGCACAGAAGTCACATTGAAAAAAAAAATGATACTTGTGTACTTTGAAAAAAGAATAATAATCTTGAACTAGTCTATTTATAAAAATTGATTAAAAACGTTTTATTTGTAAATAATAATGTATATTTCACTAAAAAATAAACATTTATACTTTGTTTTAATAGATACAAAACTGAATGTGAATAATTCTTTAATTTAAAATTATTAATATCGACTTTAAGCACATGTGCTTGGTTGCATATATTGTAGAATGAGAATAACTTCCAGCTACAGTATATCGCTAAAGAATAGTATATTACATAACGAGAGTTGTAAGAAGCTTATTACATGCGAGTAAAAAAGTTGCGCGCGAGCCGCGTAGCGGCGAGCGCAGTAATTTTACAAGCATGTAATAAGCTTACAACTCAAGTTGTGTACTATACTTTTTCTACCAAGATTTTTGTTTATAAAAATAAAAATTAAATTACCACTATATTTACACTGACAGATTAATAATTTTTAACCTGTCAAAACAACGCCTGTTAATTCGTTTCCATGGTAACTCGACCAACTGACTTACAAGGCGTATGTGATATTACACATTTTTATAGAACTGAAGCGTAATTTTTTTTATTACGTGCTAGTCATTACGTGTCAGTATCTGTTATGATGCATTTACTTAGCATCCAAATAGTAGGTAATATACAATTTACTAGTAAGAGAGTAGAAAAACTTCTTTACGCATTATGTGTTCCAGTTTCGAGTCAATTCAAAATATACTCATTCAAAGTGACAGTTAAAATTTTGGTGAATGCTACTTTTTTAACAAATTCAGATCAAGAAATTATAAAACACAGAAAAAAATATTTTATGGACCCCAAGAAACATAAAATGAAACCATTAAATGTAAAAAATAATAAACAAATAGGTACCACTTTATTTTATAAATTATGGTTTCATTTTAGATATATTTCGTTAATAAATTCAATATTTTATTTGTGCCATCTACATATGACTGAACCAATTCAGATTACATTTTAATTTTATTGAAATATTTTTTCATACGATATCTTAAGGATAAGACAATTTCCTGAATTTTGGTGGATTGAATACTAATAAATAGGCAACCAATTATATCTACTACGTTTGTGTGACATTTCCGCAATTGTAGCTTTGGAAACTGCTTTCCTCTAATAAAATCAAAAATTTATGATGCGGTAAAGGACAAGAAAGATCTACCTAGTAACGACAATTTGACTGAGGAAGCAACAACAAAAAAGTACTTATGAAGTGGAAAGAACAGACAGAAATATATATCCACAATCCACAGAATACTACAATAGTGAATCGAAATCAAAGAGATGGAACGCTTCAAGTAGTGATTGGTGAAGGATTATAATAAGCATGTGGGATACTTGGATATACTCAAACCCTGTTACGAAATAAACAGAAAAAGCATGTACACTTTTTGACCTTTATAGATGTTGTTCTCATGAATTCGTTCATTTTATTCTCAGAAAGGAGTGAAGAAAAAAAACTAAAATTAAAAGAATTCAGACTCTTTGTTTCGTATAAGTTTACAGGAGTTGAAGATACAAAAAAAGCTTAAGGATAATACAAGTTATAGTAAGTTCAAGGGGCATATTTCAGTCGAGAAGATATTAGCTTCAGTGCAACAAATATCACTTCATGGAAATGCAAAAAGTTGTGCACATTACTGGTCTATAAAAGAACCACACAGAAGTAAATACTTGTATTTGGACAGTTAAATCTTGTCTATCTAACTTGTCTAAAATATTTAAAAAAGTTGTTATGATACGAATAAATAATTTTCTAAAAAAATTTAATATCTTGTCAGATAAACAATTTGGTTTCCATGAGACCAAATCGATACAAGATGCTATTGCGTTTCTAACTGGTAAATTAACAAGATCAATTGATCAAAAAAAGCCTGCTTTGTGTATTTTTGTTGATTTGGCTAAAGCATTCGATACAGTTAGCACCCGAACCTTCTTGCAACACTAGAGAGAATTGGCATTAGAGTAACTGCACTAAAACTTGAGGTATCATCTTCAAAACATATGAATTATCCGTAGTATATAATTTTGTCTTAGTAATATAGGATTTTCACCTACTTTTATGTATAAAGATCTCACAATTTTTGAGCTATAGGGCCTATATTTTATTTCATTGTGGCTGCCTATATTGATTCTTATTAATTTTACACTTTGATCTATCTTTAGTCTCATTAAGATTATATATTTGATTATTTTATGTACATTGATATATTTATGTCGAATAAACAATATTATTACATCAGGTATGACCATCGAGCAAAAAGACAAAAGAGCGAATGTAAAGGTAGTGGGGGTAAAAATATTAGATAGGAAGTGCCATATTAAACAAGGAAAGAGAGTCTTTCCTTGTTTAAGAAATCAAATTTAGTTGGATTATGTTATTGTTTGTCCCAACTGTCACATTAAATCTTATTTATATTGAAGTTTATTAACAACTATGTCACATTTTAGACTTTTATCGTTCATATTTATTTAAACTTCGAAGACACATTCTGAAAACTATTTTAAGTGTCGAAAATTTTAAATTTGGCGCATTCGTATTTCCGGATATCTCCGCCATCAGAGGCCACTTTTTTGGTCTCCTTTTCATAACGATTAGATTCACTCTTTTGTCTTTTTGCTCGATGGGTATGACCCAGTGGTTTCACCGTGAAACCACCTCCGTATACAAATAACTGTTTTTTGAGCAATCGAAATTTATTTATTTTTTATTGGCCAAGTTTTCAATAAATGTTTGTGAAAAAAATTTGAAATCTTAATTTGGGATACCTCTATCTTTTAAGAGGATCACATGGTTATCGAAAATAAAACACAATATATACAAATTGTATAAACGTTACTAAATATTTTTTATTAAAAAAATATACAACATAACACTAAACACTAAATTGATATCTCAGTTCAAGTCTCTTCATTAAAAAGTTATATTAAATCATTTATACCATTTTTCAAAGTAAAAATGTTGCACGTCATAATTTATCTGATTAGCAATGTGTTTTGGGAAAGACCAGATGGTAGAAGATCGACAGGAAGGCCTAGAAAAAGGTGGAAAGACGCAGTCAGGGAAGACCTGGAGAAGATGGAAGTAAGGCCATGGGAAATAATAGCACAGGATCGGAATCAATGGAAGGCAATAGTAAACGCGGCAAAAACTCACGAAGAGTTGTAAAAGCCAATGATGATGATGTCACAATTTATATAAAGTGACGTCACTTATATTTAAAATTTCCAGAACGTCAGCCTTAGAGTTCAAATTTTCTTAACACAGCTAATAATACGAAACCCATACGGAACTGCTCGATCTCTCATAGGCGTTAACATGGTGTAATAATCAGAAAAATGTAATCATCATTATATTGGAAATTTTAGAATTATATTGATTAAATAACCAAAAACATTTGTTATTATTAATAATATAAATTTTATGAAATAACTCTTTAGTATTCCACAAAATAATAATTTTAATTAAATAGATTAGACAATTGTGCGTAACTGATACGGGAATAATTCAAATTTTATTGACAGTTCAGCGTGTGGCAAAATTGTTTCAAGTATTGCAGCTTTTTTAGAGTAAGAATTTTGAAATCGTAGGCTTCCACGGCCAGAGTCAGAATTATAGTTTATTCGTCTTCCGGGTTTGGACCGTGTCATTTGTGAGTGACCCAAAAGTGGGTTCATCTCGACGTTTCGCTACAATTGTATGTAGCTTCTTCAGGAGAACAAAGAAAAAGAAAACAAAAGACAGGAAGATGGGTAGTTAGCAACGGTAACTCAGTTACTCAACGCAACCAGAGGCGAATACTAACTACAGTTAGTATTTTAGTATTCGCAGTATTCGTAGTTAGTATTCGCCTCTGGTTGCGTTGAGTAACTGAGTTACCGTTGCTAACTACCCATCTTCCTGTCTTTTGTTTCCTTTTTCTTTTTCTTTGTTCTCCTGAAGAAGCTACATACAATTGTAGCGAAACGTCGAGATGAACCCACTTTTGGGTCACTCACAAATGACACGGTCCAAACCCGGAAGACGAATAAACTATAATAGTAAGAATTTTGTTTATGTTTTGATTTCTTACACAATTTGATTATAATATATATTAATAAATTGTATTTATGAATACATATTATATTTAGATTAATAGCTTTAAAAACTAATTATAGTTGACCTTTTAACAATTCCTCACTAACTATTCTGATGTTTTGGCAACGCTGTGGGGTTCTGACGTCGTAAATCTTGTATGACGTGCAAGCATTTTTATATGAAAAATGCTATATAAGAAAAGAAAAGAATGGCAGTGTTATTGATTTTTGTGAAGATCATCCTGAATGAGTGATTGTTTTGACAGTTTTGGCAGTGGTTTTGTAGTGTGGCGTGGATATAAAAATTAAAAATGAGTGGAGTCCTGTGCGTACAGCGGAAAATACTGAACCTGTTCGGCATGTTATTTGGTTTATAAAAGACATATAAATGAATTATTTGTTGTGTAGCTGTTGAAAATGTGTTACTTTATTTTAATCTGTTCAGTTAACTAGTAATTAGGTTTTTTTTTATCTAAGCCATGCACGTGATACAGATTAGAAAGTAATCAAGTACTAGCCAATTTTGTCGTCCTAGATTTTTTTTATAGAATATCATAAACGCAATAGTAGTCTTTTTTCCTCTTAATAATTTCACGACAATTGTATATAGCTGTTATCAGAGACATTAATATCCTTTGTTGTTTTCCTAGCATAACCATGCTCTTCTAATGTCTGACCAACATCCATGGTGTTGTTCTGGTTTCTCAAAATTACTTTTAAGGGCTGATCTTCAGACCTGAAAATATTATAGAGTTAATGAAATCTGGCAAATACTATACTTCAATGCACATGAGTCGAAAATTGATACAGAACTAACAGAGCTCTAACAACTATGTAATGGGACAAATTGAAATATATAACAAATTTAGGCGTTTGACTGTTATTTTAAAATGACATATAATTACAAAACGTAATTAATATTGGTTTATACAACGCAAATAACGTATTTAATGGCAGGATCATTAAAATATCTAAAAATTAGTAACAACTAAATCATGTAGAACTGCTAAAAACCATACAAGACAATTAGGTTGCAAAAACAATGCAGCCGGACATTCTAACAAACGTTAAACTATATTCTATAATTATTTTTTGTCAAATCGAGTGATTCGTTGTATTATTTCAATAATACAATAAAATGGTGCCTAGTATCTCTACAAATTCAAAAAATTGTGAGTTGGTAATTAAACATTATTGCTACAATAAAACATTTTTTGAAGTATTAATTCGGATGCCGAATTAATACTTCAAGTTGGATTCGAAATGGTAATTCGAAAACATGCCAATTTAACTCGGATAAAATTAATGTTCCTAAAACTACAGTCACCATCATTCTCTTTGCCTTTATCCTATGCGGTATCGGCCTAATTACATTTCCCCATAAGTTTTTATCTTGGGGCATATCAATATTAATATCCTTTACCGACATGCTCTGCCTGCGTCTTCCCCAGGTCTTTTTTGGTCTTCCTTTCCTATTACTTCCAAGAATCCACAGATTCCTGGTAATAGCAATTCTTTGTATTGGGTTGAACATGACAAAACCATCTTAACCTATTCCCCTAATATACTCATTCTTAATTGTATCCTTTTTTGTCACTCCACTCATCCATCTAAGCATTCTCATTTTCGCCGCATGCATTCGTTGTTCCTTTTTCTTTTTAATTGCCCATTCAGTTCCGTACATCATAGCTGGACTTATGGCTGTTTTTTAGAATTTTCTCTTCAGCTTCATTGGAATTTTTCTGTAACACAACACACCACTCGCTTCCTTACACTTCATCCATCCAACCCTAATTCTACTGCATAAATCTCCATCTATTCCCCCTTACTCTGTAACAGAATAAGGGGGGAATTTATTTTTAAAACTACAGTGTGCAATATAATTAAGCATTATGACGAAACATGGAGTATCTTAGATAAAAAGATAAATGATCCAAAACTAGTTTCTGATAGGAATAGGAGAAAAGTTTGCAAAAAAGTCGAAGATACACTAAGGAAAATTACAGCTGAATGTAATCATGAAACTGGATAAATCTTTCAAGGGAATGCTGTCGCAAGTTATGGCATGTTAAATTTTTCTATTACTGGCCAGTATTTGCAAGGCAATTCCTAGAGAAATTATTAATGTTTATTTTAGAATACTTATAAAAATCTGTTTAAAAGAGCCTTGTTCTTAAAAGAACTTTTTCGTCATAAATTATGTTTGGGGCTATATGATTTCATAAACGAATACGTTTCCTTTCAAAACACTCCATTCAAGTGTTAATTATAGATAATCCCTCTTAAAATTTTATTGGTTTTTAGTTAAAAGCGTTCCAAAGCGTATTATTTTCTCATGGAAACGAATATTTCGAACTAAAGTACACATTCCCTTCCCCAAAAATTAATAAGCTTGGGCCTAATTTATAAAAATCCAAAATCCCATTTTAGTAGTCAGTTAATATTTGAATGTCAATATGCATTCAGACATAGATAATTGCATTATTGCATAAAGTATGAGATTCTGTTTTCGTTATTTATAAAGTCCCTCCCTCTGGCAATTTGCTTGTACCGTTGCTATTCACTCACAAGCCCCTGTTGTCACGTCGAGACCTTAGCAATATTTTTGCCGAAGAAGTAGATATCGTATTTCAATATCATAAGAACAGTCTGTTTATCTCCAGGACTTCGGCCCTATTATCACAGGTCAACAAACCAGTGTGAGTGAATATTATATAATCATAATGTTGTTTGTTAGGAACCGTAACTTTTAATTTTTTGTTTAGAGTTTATTTTAAGTATGTTACCAAATTATGTAACATTATAATTTTGTAACACTAATTTAAATAAAACGGAACAATAGCCAATGATTTCTGTTGAGATTGTAGTTTGATTTTTAATTTTTTTGAGAGATAATGAAGTTTTGATTAAAGTATTTCCGTATTGACTATAATTTAAAGTATATCAATGTCGGCAATCTGTTTTAAAATTTACGATTTTTAATGACAGTATGTATCATTATGTTTTTTATTACTGTTTATTTTTTTACAAATCATGTTTGTTTTAAAAGTTTAATAAGTATTATTTTTTGTGAAGTATTATTTTATTTTTGAGTAGAGACGATATAAATTATTTGAATTTGGTTGTAGAAGATATTATAAAAATTCTTCTAAATTATTTTATTGAATATATATCCTTTTCTTGCAACTTATGGTAAGATATGTCAATTTTTATAGTTTTTTTTGTCGATATTTGCTGATACGTGTTCTGGCGGGTGTTTTTTTGTGTTTTTCTGATATTTTTGAGACAAATATTTATTTATTTTTGAGTTCCTTCATAAGTTTCCGGTTAAAACTTATTGGCGCCAATTTTGTTTTACAGTTTAGCTGTATTTAGTGTCTTTCTTTGTCAAACTGTGATTCGTTGTTATCTATTTATTATCTATCGGTTTTCTATCTATTTTGATCTACAATTTTTTACCATCTACATCCTTACCCACGTGGTCTTCGTTGGTAAAGTGGAAACATAAATCTGGATTAAACTTTTATAAGGTCGAATTACAGGTAACAACTTAAAAGTGTATTCTTAGTTTAATATATTTAAAAAAAAATCTTCTACGCAAAGGAAAAGCCACTGTTAACGGCATAAAAAAACAGCCAAGCTCATTTGAGCAAAATCTAAACTTAAGCTAGCAACGGGTACCGGGTAGGAACTCCTTTGGATAGTCCTATCAGGGAAAGTGAATCAATCCCTGCTCTCCGCAAATTCCAGGTGTTTTCTGACCCGGGAAACTAGTACCTGCTTAGGGTCTTTTGTCCAGGGTCACCGATGAAGTCCACGGCGGAGAAGAATACCTTTGGTACGGTGTGGATGGCGGAAGTGGCAATCCCTTGAAACTTTCTTGGCCTTTCTTAAATAAGTGATCATTTGAAGTTTTATGGCAGTTTCAGGGTTAGAATGTTTTTAATTTATTGATGGTACCATAAATGTTGCGAAATATCAACAAATATATCAAAAAATAACCTACTACCAAGTATTGTCAATTTAAATTCTGGCGAGAATTATATTATTCAGGAGCACGAAGTGGCATGTCATACGTCCAGAACCACAAACAACTGGTTTGGAAACCACAATATAAATGTCTTTTCTTGGCCTACTAACAGTCCTGACCTAAATGTCATTGTAACAGTATAGCATAAAGTGAAACAGACACTAAAGAATAACTTACAACGAATATTATCCGACCTTAAAGCCAAATAGAGCAGATTTGCAATGAGTTTACCACTGAATTTACCATTTAACAGTGTAAGATCCTTAGTCGAGTAAATGCCCAACCTAATTCGAGCTGCCATAAAGTCTACGAGCGATGCTACTCCCGTTTTAAAAATAAATATTTGTTCTATGTCCCAATATTTAGTTATAAATAAAATAAACATTGTTTATTATAAATTAGTTTTGTTAGAGTAAGTATATTTTATTTGATGTTGCTGATTGAACCTATAATATTAGTAATTAACTAATTACATGGTAATACAATAAAAAACATGATTAAAAAAAAATAAACTGTCAACTATCTGAATTTTGTATGTATTTTCTTTTGTCTCATTATATAGTTATCAGGGTTCGTATTTTGATTTCATTATTGTTTCCAAGACAACATGGGACTTGGTAAAATTTTTTGGAATAACCCTGGTATACACAAACATTTGTATCTGCCGGGGTTGTTCTCAAAATTATAAACTGTACCATATATTAAAAAATAATTATAGTATTAATGTTTAAAATACTTGGTGAGTGCGATAAAATTGTAAAAATGCACATTTTTATTAAAAAACTAAGTTTTACTCAGTTAATTTAAAAATATCTAATAAAAGTTGATTTATGCTTCTGAGAATATTCTCTAAACGATATTTTAAAACTGTTTCCATGGGGTAACATGTGACTTACTATAAATAATTAGAATGAACCTGGTACACACAAACATTTGTGCCTACCAGAGTTGTTCTTAACATTATATACTGTGTTACATAAGAAATAATTAAATTTTTAGTGTTTAAAATGCTTACAGTGTGCGATACAATTCTAGAAATGAATCTGTTTGTTGAAAAACTGAAAGTTTTATGTAGTTTATACGCTTCAACATATATAAAAATCACAAAATTTGTAATAAAAGACAAATAATGCTTCTAGGAATATTCTTTAACAATATTTAAAAACTTTCCATGAAGTATCAAAAAATTTGATCAATAATATTTTGATTTCATTATTATAACTCAAAATTTGTAATAAATCCGATTAATGCTTTTGAGATTTGAGACAAGTTTTTAAAACTTTTTTAAACAGTGTTAAAAATTTGAGAAGTGATACGTTAATTTTAATCTTTTTCTATGACCAACTGATGACTTATTAGTAAAATATAATATAAAGACGGTACTAGATTTTTGTTTTAATACAGAGCAGCGGCAAGCCGCTTATACGTATTTCGACCTCTTTAGTTATCTTCAGAGCGGTATAGCCACCTCTCTGGATCGAAACAAAATCTATTCCCGACTAAGACAATAGTTATAAAATAACTATATACGGACGTAACTACGCCATCTAATAACAAAAAGAGAAATAATACGATTTCTACCTGGCCAAATCAAATTCAAATCTTTACCACTGTGCTTTTTAAAACTTTCAAAGCAAACAGCTTGATAAATTACTCGGCAAGGGAATCTAAGATTGCATTCCACGTGCCGTTTATCATGGTCAAAATTCTTAGTGAATTCAATTTCTGGTACTCCAAACGGAGTAAAGAAACAAAATATAAACAGTACTAGAGTATTGTTTCAATACAGAGCGGCGGCAAGCAGCTTATACTTATTTCGACCTCTTTAGGTTTCTTCAGATCTCGTGGTAAAGATTTGAATTCATTTTCGCCAGGTAGAAATCGTATGATTTCTCTTTTTGTTATTAGTAAACGTTTCTAAACCAACCGTTTCACACTGTGTTCACAAATTGTCAATCTATATTTTTATTTTATTTTTATTCCCACATTATTAGTAAACATTCCTAGAACAAACATATTTGCATACCTTGGTTTTGAAAATTATATACTATACTACACAGAAAATAATTATAGTTTTACGTTTCACGTAGTTAGAAAAATTAACAAAATGCAGTTTCTTGTAAAAAACCTAATATTTCCGATACTTTATTTAAAAATCTGACAAATTTACACTTCAACCCTTAAAGCACAAGTGGTGTAACTCCATTTTTCATTAATTTTAGTTAAGATTTAAATCGTATTCCACAACAAGTATTTTATATTAGCACAAATGGTGTAAGTTATAATAGTAACCATGTAGATAGGCAACACATTTTGTATTGTCAGTGGAGTCACCTATCTGTTGACAGCCAAAGTGAAGTACAAATAGGATGTTACTTTTTGATACATTAAGTTTCATTTGTATATTTAATTGTGTTTAGTGTAGTTTAAAATGTGTGTGCAAAAAATATTTTTTGCAGACTTTTAAAATTCCTGATGGTAGGATGACTCAAAACATAAAAAAGTTATCTTTTGGATTTATCGCTGGTGAACATAAAAGGGACAAAAAAAATCCTGGTAATAAAACATCCCAGGAAAAAATGTTAGAAGTACCGAATCATATAGCATCCTTCCCTTGTTATCAATCATATTATACCACAACCACAATCCAAAAGAAAATTTTTGTCAGAAGATTTAAATATTCGACTTCTGTACAATTTATACAAAGATAAAGTTCAAATCGAAGGTAAGGAATCTGTGGCAGAGCACGTTTATCATAGAGCTTTTAATAACGAGTTCAACTTACATTTTCATGCGCCTCACAAGGATACTTATATAAAATGCGATATTTTTAATAATAAACTGAAACAAATATACTGATATAAAATAAACTGATAAAGCTCGAGAATCAATGAAATTGGATACCGAAAAATCAGCTTCTAATAGATAATACTATACCTTTTCTTTTGACTTAAAAAAATCTTTATCTTTCCCATGTCTAACATGTCAAATGGCCTACTATTAACGTAATTTGTACGTATACAACTAAGGTTGCCATGAGCTTTCAACAAAAAAGGGATTCATGTATTGTTGAGATGAAGTAACTGGATCTAGAGGTTCCCAAGAAATTGGCGATTGTTTAGTCAAACACATACAAACACGAGCGTCAGAAACAAAACATGTTGTTATGTATAATGATATGTGTACCGGTCAAAACAGGAAGTGGAAAATAGCCCTAACATTATTAACATTATTGAACCTAACCTAACCTAACATTATTGAAATCATAGACCAAAAGTTTATGCAAAGTGGTCATTCCCTTCTTCTTAATGACTGTGATTTTGATTCTATCGAGAATTACAGCAAAACGCAACAAACTTTTTGTCCCACTGATTGGTACAGTATTATTGCCAAGTCAAGGAAGAAAAATCTTTTCAGGTTACCGTTATGACGAATAATGATTTTTGTCTGTGGACACATTGTTGAAGTCAATCACTAAAAGAAAGAATGAAACGGAAAAACCTGCTGTGTCATGATTAAAAATGCAATAGATTCTTTACCAAAAGAGTACTTTATTCACATTACTCTTTAAGGAAACTCTTTCGGATGAAATGTCATACTTTGATCTAGACCTAAAGCCGGAATCTAAAAAAGGACGACCAGGATCTTAAGCTAATTTAGATCAACCAAAACTATACAGTGAACCTCGACCTGTGACCAATGAGAAGAAAAATGATATGAAAGACCTTTTTCCTTTTATTCCACCCATTTATCATCCCTATTTCGAGTATCTGTTTACTTCAGAAGATGCTCAAGACATAGGGCCACTACAGGTAGATGTCAGTATTGAAGATGAGTAAAAAACTATATAAGTTAGTTAGGTGTTGTTAACTGCAATATTAAATGTATGTTAAATAAAATGTTTACTTTTTTAACAAACCTTTCTTCATTTACGAAAAAATATATATATTCCTAAATTTTTTATAACAATTCCAGTAAAACATTACATTACTCAAAACAAGGTTAATGTGAGTTACACCACTTGTGCTTTAAGGGGCTTTAACTTTAAAATTTGTAGTAAAAATCGACTAACGCTTGTGAGAATATTCTCTAAGACACTATTTTAAAATGGTTCAGCACAGTGTTGAAAAATTGCCAATAGAGACCAATTTTATTTTTGTTTCCATAATTATATAATGACTTAGTAGTAAACATTTCTAGAACAACCCCGGTATACACGACTGTTTCTGTCTACTAGGGTCGTTCTAAAAATTACATCTATACTGCAAATAATAATATTATTAATAATTATAGTTTTATTGTTTAACCTACTTAGTGATTGCAGCAAAATTGCGAAGGTGCATGTTAATGTCGAAAAACTTGTTAGCTTCTTTTGGTGTACAAGAAGGATTCAATTCGTAGCCTTGAATGTAGCATTCGACCGCCTAAAAATAAAATAAATTGATGAAAATTGCATACCAGCCTAAAAATAAAAATATAGCAAATTTAAGGTATTACTTGACATTCTTATTGATTATACCGCACAAATAGAAGAAAAAAAAAACATTATTCATTATGCAATAATATATTATAAGGATGTTTCTTAAGTATCTGCAATTAATTTAACAGAAGAATTATTTTTTAAAAATTAAATATTTGAAATAACATAATATATTCCTTTAATATTGGAAGTAGTTTTCTATGATTTACGTTGCCGAAACCTTTCTCTAATTCAATAAAGCATGCATAGATGTCGCAGTTTTCGTTCTGAGGTCTTTGTATTAAAGCTTGTATACAAAATAATGATTTCCGCATTTTAATACCGTTTCTAAAGCTAAACTGAAAACGATTAATGTTTTCTTAACTTCTAAATGCAAAATTTAATACCACAAACAGATGTTAAGGATGTTAAGATTATAATTCTGTAATCGACGCATCTGGTCTTGTTTTCTCACGAAGAGAAATGCAGGTGGAAACTATCCAGTCAAATGATACATTAGGATACAAATTGAGCGAACATCCACCGTACTGACCAGATTTAGTGTCCTGTGAATACTTTTTAGTCCCCAAATTTGAAAACTAGCCAGAATATCGTTCTAAAACTTTTTTTTTTTCGAAACCAAAATTACTTTTCAGAAGGGATAAAAAGTTGGAAAACATTATTATGTACAGTGTAACATTTTTTTTATTATTAATATATTAAATATTTCTAATTCCTTTTACCCCCGTGCGATACGCCTATGATCGTGTATCGATAGCAAAATATTGTAGATACCCAGCTAAAATGGAATTCCCTAATTAGGAATGGTTTTTAATCCTTCCGTCATAATATTCATTATGAAAAGAGTATAATGCTTTCTGGTATTCGGTTTCTTTTCATAAATTGGTAATTTTCGTCGAAGGCCCGTTTCTTTTGACAATAACTTAATCCCAAGTATTGTCTGTTTCTTATGTCCAATTGTTAATACCGATTATTTTACCTCAAATTTTCCAATAGTCGTCAAGGCCTTACCTTCTGAGAAACACATACAACTGTCCTATCATTCTTGAGTGGGGGAATATTTTCTTCTTCCTTTTTCAGGGACAGTTGGTAAAATTTTGAGTGGAACCAAGTTACTTGTTGGTGGGCCGTTGTTGAGTTAAGGCCTATATCTCGTGTTACGCTTTGCTCACTTTATTTCTTATCGTATCGTCTTTGTGAATTATTTTCTAAGTGTGTATACACTTTATATTTGAGTTTTCTTCCCTTAGACTATATTAAATTATATATAGTTCTGCACTACCTTTAATGGTTATTAAATTCAGTGTTTAGTACCAGAAAAGTATTAAATTCAGTGAATTAAGCTGCCTTCGTCAAGATCTACTGTAAGTAATTTTATTTACAATTATCTGGGCGAGTAATATGGTATGGTACCATATCACCTGCCATTATCTGGACGTATCATCTATATCTTCACCTGAAGATTGCCGATTTTTGAATGTAATTGAACCATTCAAGAAATTTCTATAAATATTACCTATGAACATACAAATCTCAGTTTTTTATTAAATAATAGTGCGAGATAGTTAATTGACTTAGCCAAGTGCGGTTTGGTTTATGTTTTCATTTCTGTAACCTTTTTGTATTTTTTGTAAATTTAGAGTTAAGTAATTTTTGATATCTTTTGTATTTCCTATAATTTTTGTTCATTATCTTTCCTATAATATCTCGAGGTACGCCAAACTATATTTGTATATGATTGCCTTATAATATCTTGGTAAAGGTATTTTTTTATTATATTATTGCTTAATTTTATACATATAACACCATTTCATAGTTGTGTATTTTTATTACTTGTGTTGCATTTAGCAGCATCATAATTTTGTGTTTAATATATTGTTATTGTTTTATGCATGTATTTTATTTGTCGGCTCCTAACAAGTTCCCTGATAAAATAATAGCTCTGAACAATTACTATCTTTAAATATTACTATGCTTTTGACCAGTAGAAAGATCAGGCTGATAAGTTTCGTAGGTAAGTAAGTGTAATACTTAATATATTTATTATTTGTTTATATATTGCGTTGACCAGATTTATTTGATAATTTACTGTTGGTATCTTTCCTTGGGTTTGATCTCTGAACCTAAATATATTTTCTTATCTCTTTTCTTTTCTAAGGTTTTCTTAATTTTCTCCTTAACCCCAAAAAATTGAGTGGCGCCCTGTTTCTATCTTCTCTTATCTTTGGTAATTTTACCCATCTATCTTTTTGTTTATTTCTGTATCTTTTCTAATATCTCTTATCCTATCTTTACCTATTTCTTCCGTTGGATCCATTCTCGGTTCCAAAAGCTAGTTTCGAACCCACGACTCGCTCTCCACCAACCATCTGGCTGCCGTCCGCAGTGTCTCCATTGGTTATCTTTCTAGCACCACCCAAAAAAGATTTCCGAGGTTACAACAGTTGTTTCAATGGTTCTTTACCTGTGCGTTATTACTACCTGTCGAGATAAAACACATACTTTTTATATAGCATCATTGTCTTCTACGCATGAAACCAAAGTCAAACCAACTATAGTCGGACAGTTTTCAATTAAAGGTGACTAATCTACAAATTGAACTAAACGGTAGCGGAAACCGTGTAAAATGTCAGTAGTAAATTACAGGGGTCATTTTTATTGTGTATACTTCGCCCATGTAAATAAGCGAAAAAGTAATATAGTCCTCATAACATTTTCCCCGGTAACAATATAAATTGGTGCGATTCACGAGTGTGTAGTAAGACAAGTTTATTGTCTAAGACTAATTTATAACCAAAAATATTTTTTTCTCATTTTCATGGAAAACAGTACAATTTTTAATAAAGGAACATATTTCATCTTAAATGTAATTAAATTGTAAGGTGAGAATTTTCGAAATATTCGGGGTGTAGTTGCATTCTACACCTTTTACATAAATAAACAGTAGTACTTTTGCACATCCTACATTCTTGCACTATCGTCTATTTTTGTAATGTAGCCAATATTGTCGAATCTGGTTTCATCTGGTAAAGCAAATTAAGATTGACGTACATGTACTAAGCTTGACACTGATTTAGGGATTCTTCACTATTATAAATTATAAATATAAATCTATGTCGGCTCATGCTTTCTCTTATAATGTGCACTTCTTTATCCTCATCCTTTGACCAATGTATATCAACTTGAAGCAGAGTGTGAACCAGATAATATTCAAATCTATGTTATTCATTTCAAAATCGTGACGGTTATTCTGTGATGCATAAATATTTGTAAAATATAGAATGCTCTCAATTACGTTTTTATCAAAAAATAGTGAAAAAATTTGAATATATAACTTGCCTCCATGGTTGGCTTTTATATTCTCTAAATATCAATCAGAATTATGTTGAATTACTACTGAGTACAAAGCAGCACGAAGAAGTATCTGTTGTTACAACTTAAGACAAATTTGGATTTGCTCTTTTTGACTGTTTTTTTCTTTGGACGTTTTATATGTAGTTCAGAGGAATGTCATAATCAGAATTGTCAGAATTCCCAATCACTTGTATTTTATATGTACCTGCAATATCCGATTTTATTGATTCTTTACAAATACTATTATCATCAATGTCTTTTACATAAGAAACTATCTAATCTAATCTCGGCAGCAAATAAACCACTATAAGTGAGTCAGCATTTTCACAATCTGAGTCTTCTTCTAACAAAGCTATTAACTCTTTAGTTAATGTAGTTAGTGCCATCTTTATTTCATATTTCGAGAATTTACTGAAATAAACAAATGCACTACTATATACACGCATTCACATGATAATAATTTAGCTTAATTCATTTTAATTTATATGAACAATATATTTTTATATTTATATAAACAAATATACATAAGAAAACTTTCAAATTAAGTTAAAAAAACAAATATAAAGTTTACAGCACACAGCAATTTTATAAATAGAGAAGGAAGTGCAACGACGAGATCGTATGTTAAAATTTCAGATTATTTAGTTTAATGAAAAAATAAATGTTTTGCAAAGATTTCTGTTTTTTGAAGTACTGCATTAGGTACTCCTTAAAACAATAAAATTTTACTTTATTTTGTTAAACAACTATTTGCTCCGTGCATGACTGATCTATTGCCTTCGTCTGAGAGTTTTGGACCTCCCAATTTGAGATTAAACATATGTTAAATATATACGAAATTAACAATTATTAGTTTTTTAATTATATTTGTTCAGTGTATGTACAAAATAAATGTAGTATTTAAAACTGGGGTTCTAAAAATTAATCATAATTTATCTTTGCAACCCCAAACGGAAAAGAAAGGGAAAAATCTAGTACTGGGCAATGTGGAAGAGCATGTAGTTAAAAACAATAGTAGTAAAAGTTATGATATAAAAGCTAAAGTCATCAGGCAGACTGCAGTTAGCTTGAAACCTTATGAAGGTAAATTCTTTAAATTTTTCCTATTTTAATTGCATAAAAATGAAATTATATTTACTTTTTCATATTAATAGCACGAATCCATCTTTTTCTTTTCTCGAATTTATATGTAATCTTTTGAAACCTATAAAAACTACACTCACTATTTTTTGCTATTATTTGCACAATTACATACGCATTACGCCAATTTTGACATTTGTCATATTTCGTCGCTACGCACGCTGGCACCGTTTCAAGATACCCCTTCCATGGTAACGCATGGAACGAATAAGATACCTGTTAAAAGACACATGATAATTTAATAACTATATCGGTCTTAGATTTAATTAATTACTTATGTGTTTAAATAAATAATTAAAAATTTTTTGGTACGCCTCTACAAAATTGATAAGTAGACTAGGATTTCGTTGAAAAGTTATCGTAAGGGCTTCGTTAAGTGCGATGTTGCCAAGTAATCACCTTCAATTAAAAATTGTTTTAGTATACCACCTGTTATTAAGTAATGACACA